AGGAGACACTCAGCTGGCAATTATTAGTACTGAGCCAGGTGGAGAGTTCAGAGACTTTACATAACATCTCTGAAAAGCAAATGCAATTGATTTTACCTCTTAATTATCTAAGTGGGGAATTTTTAAATTGTCCTGAATAATTTTATTCTGTGAAATCTACAGAACCAGCACATAACACTTAATGATTTTGCTGGATGGTTTGTATGATATTTTGCTCTTTTAATAAATCCTCTCCTGAGAGCTAAAATGCTAGGACTGAATTTAGCAATATGCAGAAGACTAGACATTTTGGAAAAGCAATGCGGCAATGCATTCAGCTATGTTGTTGCTATTGTTTCAGGTGTGAACTGTAAATTCAGGTTGTTGGGTTTTTTTCCCCCTAAATTCATCACTTCCAGAAATAGATACCTTAAAATTACAGATTTCCCAAATGTTAACAACTCAAATTTTCCTTGACCATTTTTCCATTCCTCCCTGAGAAGAAACGTGGCCACATTTCCACACAGGGTCAGAGGGCAGGACAGACAGGGGGCTGAAATGGGAGGCCAGATAGAGGTTCCCAGAGTGGACTCACTAAGGATCTGTCCCAGAAAAGGGCATTTCGGTGGACAGTCTCAAAAACCCTCTCCCACCAGCAGCTTCCTCCCCCTTCCCTTCAGCTGGCTTCGCAGCCTGTCCTCATAACCTCAGCCCCAAGACAGAGTCAGGATAAGCAATCAAAGATGGCAGCACAGAGTCAAAGCCTAACTCAGTTCCTTCTGCACCTGTGTCCTATGTGCCTGTGTCCTCACCAAGCTGAGAGCCTCTGCAGCCTTCCATCCTGCAGACCTCCAAGGCAGAGTACAGGTGCTCAGCCCCTAGGAAGAGTACAGGTGCTGGACCTCCAGCAGAGTAGAAGTGTCAGACTCCCTTCCAGAGCACAGGGGCCAGACCCCTAGGTAGAGTACAGGTACTGGACCCCCAGGTAGAGTACACGTGCTGGACCTCCCTTCACTAGAGTACAGGTGCTGGACCCCCAGGTAGAGTACAGGTGCCCAACCCCCAGGTAGAGTACAGGTGCCTGACCCCCTCATAGAGTACAGTTGTCAGACCCCCAGGTAGAGTACAGCTGCCCAACCCCCTGATAGAGTACAGGTGCTTGATACCCAGGTAGAGTACAGGTGCCTGACCCCCTGATAGACTGCAGGTGTCAGACCCCCAGGTAGAGTACAGATGCCTGACCCCCAGGTACAGTACAGATGTCCGGCCCCCAGGTACAGTACAGGTGCCTGACACCCAGGTAGAGTACAGGTGCCTGACCCCCTGAGAGAGTAAAGGTGTCACACCCCCAGGTAAAGTACAAGTGTCAGACCTCTAGGTAGAGTACAGGTGCCTGGCCTTCTGATAGAGTACAGGTGTCAGACCCCCAGGCAGAGTACTGGTGCTGACCCACCACAGCCCCTGACTTGCTGTGTGATGTTGAGCAACCTCTTTATGTCTCTGGGCCTCAATTCCTCCTTTGACAGTGGGTGGGAAGAGGGTGATTTATGATCGCTAAGCTTTCTCCCTGCTCTGTGGGTCTTTCCTGACTTACATTAAATCTGAATAATGTTCAAATATGGCCAATGGGCCCAGCCAGAGAGGAGACAGGAGAATAAATGGCTTGATTTGGGGGCAAATTTTTGTGCCCGTCCGAGGGGATTCCATTTACACACTAGAGGCTTTTACTAAACCCCTGGCCTGGCGGTAGCACCATGGAGTGGAGCTGTTCGATGGGTACCAGGAGGATTCCAAGAACTGGGCCCTTTGACACAGAAGCTGTGTCTTCCCTTGGCTCTCCCCACAAAGAGTGAGGGTCACTCCAGGGTACCCTGACGGCTGCTATAGTCAAAGACCACCAGAACCCCAGACCTGGGAGAGGCCTTCCTCTCCAGCACATTCTGTCTCGCTGCATAGTCTTTCTTGCTGCAAGATGTATGTGGAGCTTTGTAGAATGTTGGCAAAATTATTCTCAGCTCTTCCTCCTTAGGTACACAGAGCCAGGACTTGAAGCAAAGAATCAGACTCTTGCAGCTGAAATTATTTTTTCATATGGCCATATATAGGTCCAGGGAAGGGAAAAGACTTGCCCAGGGTCACACAGCAGGTCAGGAGCAGAGTTGGGACCAACAGCCAGGACACTATTGACTTTAACCCATTTCTCAGATGAGCTTCAGTTCTAGAGTCAGACAGACCTGGGTTCAAATCATGCCTGTACAATTTACTTGGGCAAACTATTTAA